TGGACTTCAACTCCAAGGATGCTGGCTGGGGAATTCTTGGAGTTGAAGTCCACACAGCTTAAATTTGCTGAGGTTGAGAAACACTGATCTAATCCATCATCCGTACAACCAGGAGACAGGCTTCAACCCACACCCAGGGCCCCAGGCTCAAGCACAAAGACAGGTTTTGAAGGCCTTGTGAAAGGCCAATAGAGATGGGGCCAATCTAATCTCGTGGGAAGGACATTCCAAAGGGCAGGGGCCACGGCAGAAAAAACTCTTCTTCTGGGCCCCGCCAGCTGACACTCCCTAGCTGACAGTACCCGGAGCAGGCCCTTCCTGCCAAATCGGAAAGGACAGGTAGAAACAACTGGGGAGAGACGGTCCCATAAGTAACCCAGTCCTAAGCAGTGAAAGGCTTTGAAGGTGACAACCAGCACCTTGAATTGCACCCAGAAGGCCACTGGAAGCCGATGCAGCTCGCAGAGCAGTGATGTCACATGGGCCAAGTAACTGGCACCAGTAACTCCCCGTGCCGCTGCATTTGGCATCAGTTGAAGCTTCTGTATACTCTTCAAGGGCAGCCCCACATAAAGTGCATTGCAGTAGTCCAAACTGGACATTGCAAGGGCACGAGTGACTGTGAGCAGGGCCCCCCGGTCCAGGAACAGGTGCAACTGACCCCAGGCCTAGGCTGTGCAAAGGCCCTCCTAGCCACAGCTGCCACCTGCTCCTTTTAAATTTTTTAATATAATTGTTAGAATAATAGGGGCTTTTCCCCTTAAAACGACTCCACAGGAGGGGAGACAGGATCGAGCTGCAGAACATGACTCCTGCTACAAAAAATACCGATTAAAACTAAATCTGGGCCATTAAGCGTTCTTTTCTGCATACATCTGGTAGTCGTGCTATCAGAGGTAGTGCTGGCCCCAATTTACTTAATTTTAAAGGAGGACTCACCCCCCACCCCCCAAAGCCTCCTCCTGCAATTTTTACACGCCTCTCCTTCGCCACAGGCTTCGCAGCCGGATGAATTAACTATCGAGGAACACGAGGTTTTGGAAGTGATAGAAGATGGAGATATGGAAGACTGGGTAAAGGTATCATTTAGTTTTTCCTGTCATTGTGGCATGCTGAAAGGAGCCGTGGCGGGCAGCTGCTTGTCTTTTTTACGCTGGCTTATCCCGTGTCTCTCTTCCACTGAGCGTGTTCGTCTTCCCCGCTTTCACAGGCCCGAAATAAGTCAGGCCATGTTGGCTACGTCCCGGAGAAATATTTGCAGTTCCCGACCTCAAACAGCCTCTTGAGCATGTTGCAGTCCCTGGCAGCGTTAGACAGCCGGTCGCATACTTCCAGCAATTCAGCCGAAGCCGAGCTAGTCTCGGGAAGCCTTAATGGAGACTCCAGTGGTAAGTGCCCGCAGGGCTGAATCTTGGGGGGTCGGTAGACGCCCTGCTGTGCTGCATGCCCAAGACATAAAACAGCACGCTCTCAGCCACACGCAGGGTGTACTTCTTAGTGCGGCTTCTTAGTGACACATGTTGCAAGAAGAGCACTCAGAATTCCAAGTCTTGTGGCCCAGGTAGGTTTCCCGCATGCAAACGCTGATGCTGTTCCGTTTCCACTTTCCCTTCCAGTCTGTTTTGTAAAAGCACTTTACGATTACGAGGGCCAGACCGATGACGAGCTCTCCTTTCCGGAGGGAGCGATAATCCGCATCCTG